TGGATTCGAATGTTGCGGAGAATTGTTAAATTATCTGTGATTGATTTTGATATAATGATAGAAGAATTGAAATCGGTTCGGCGAGAGAAAGAATTCTTGAAAGAGACCTCTTGTTTTTCTTCAAATTTCTTTTCCTGTGAGAACAAAAAGCTTCCTGATAGAACTGGTTTGAACAAGCGGTTCGTAGTCGAATGAACCGATTGACCCTTCGACATTACTGACATTTCCGGGCTCGTCCAATTTACAGCCGCGAGACTGCTGCAAATTGCTCCTTCGCCACAGAACTTTCAACATATAGTGCCAGAAAAAAGAGCACGTAGAAAATGCCGGACAATAGCTATCGAGTATTTTTGTTCGCGTATTTTATTTATTTATTTATTTAATTTATTTTTTTTGCAAGCGAGGAAAAGCCCTTTCGTCCCAGCTGACAGTCGATGCCGCCTACGTTTTCCTAGAAATTCAGTTATATAAATGCGCATATATGATTTAAACTGGCACAACAACATATTATACCGTTTCCATGAACGAACGAATGAGATACTGTCATTCGTAAACGCTAAATTGCGAAACACATTTCGCGTTCCATTTAGGGATAATTGCAAGTACGGCGCCAGATTATCGATAAAAGTGCGCTTAACCCGATTATATTGCATAATAGTGTAATTGAGTAAAATTGAATAAAATAACACACTTTATATGAAGAAACGGTAAAATACCGCAGAGATCGAAGACATCCGCAAAAGAGCGAAATGCGATATCTATATTAAATCTATATTAAAAATTGGAAATATATTCTAAATCAATCTTCCTCTTTACCGAGGATATCAGGTCATAGAACACTCAAAAAAATGATCTTGCAACTATAGCAAAAATTTTCTAGGTGCGAAAAATTAACCGAGGCAGATAAACGATTAGCAAATATTGTAATATCGTATATATGTTGCACGTAATCAATCTAAATGACAGAGACAGAATTTATATCTGAGCTATTTGTGAAATTTAGAAAGAAAATTTTTCTGTGGCGTCTATCCATGTTATGATCAATCCATACTTGTTATAAAGTTTGGCTGTAGTACACAGAAAATACTAGCAGCAAGAACAAATGAATATATAATCCTAAATTTTCTAGCAGATATTGCTAGAATGTTACTGCTAGAAATTCTAGCTGTGACAAACGATATTCTATCAGATACAAAAAATAGCGATAAATTTTCGTTGCGACATCTAGAAATCTACCTACATTAGCAAAACATTTTTTTGAGTGAATGTCATTATAAAATTAAAGTCGCAGGACTCTGCTTATATATCAAGAACGTGCCAAACATGACAAACTGTGGACTTGAGGAAGGAATAATGATGCAGTTTACGCGCGAATATGGCATTACAGGGCTTAGCGGTATGGCGGCTTATAATACACTACTATAATAATGTAGATGACGAGAAGGAAAGAACGAGAGCAAGTATTACATTCGCGAAAGCTGCGTTTTAGCACAAAGCTATTATTATTATCTGGACACCGTTAAGTTTCCGCATGGAACAAGAGCGGCGAACAATGGCAACGCGTCTAATTCGGAGAGTACTATCCACATTGGCTAACTATTGTGTATACTTCTCGTGTACATGCAATATATGCACGTATACATATTGTAGGAATATATTCTCCTCTCTTTCTCTTGCTCGATATCGTCGAATGTTTTCAAAGCGAATGTAGTATCGCGAGTTTGAATTGTAAGGCTACTATTGTTCGTAAAAGTTGTACGATCATATTAAGCCGTACTATATTTTACTGTGCATTGTACGTTGTATATCATATGTTACATATTTTACGCGCGATTCCCGATTGTCATAGAATCGCTGGACCAATCTTTCCTATCGCGTATCGAGATCATTTCGTGCGGCATAACTGCGGCTTCATTCGGAAACATTCGTGAAATAATAATGTAAATACTACGGACACGTTCGCTATTTTATTATCGATGAAAATCACGATATCTCTTCGAGTTCCATTTAACGTTTTTATTTTTTATTCAAACGAATGTTATTCGATGTTTGCTGTGTTCGCATATCCAGATAAGTGTCGGAAGAAATGAACGGAAGACGAACAAGTCATTTAGCAATTTTTATTAATGTGCTCTCGGCAAGAGATGTCTCTCTCTCTCTCTTTCTCTTTCTCCCTTCGATATATTTAAATTTAAAATAAAATATGGACGTGCAATCTCCGTCTTTCTTTTTTTCTTTCTCTCTTTTACTCTCCATGTGCGCTCGGCTAAAACTCAGACGAATATATAGATCGAAATGGCTGCAGCATCTGACAACTGCAGTGTCACGTAGGTTCATATATACGTATATATATTCGTTTACATATACATATCTCACATATATACACATATACATATATATATATATATACATACATATATATATATATATATATATATATTATGCATATTTTATATATCTACATGCTTGTCTGATTCACTGGTGCACTGATGTCACATAAATAATAAATAGGGAATTCATCTGCGTATCGCTTTTCTTTCGACACATTAAACATTTCTATGTGCACGCGTACCTCTTTCAACGTTACAAATGAATTGTACATGTATTTTAACGCACTCGACCTATTTATAAGAAATAAAATCTTTTTCACGCGATGGAACGAGGGAGGAAAAAAATTGCCATTTAATCAAACGTTTTCACGCAAGTTGCATCAACTTGTTCTTTGAAGACAAAGCCGTATGAAAAAAAAAAGTATAGACGAATTAAATGAGCGTAGAAACAGTAGTTCGATATCGAAACAAATATCTTGTCTGTCATGTTCGCAATAAATTTTCTATCGAGTTGTAACAAATAAAACATTTTCTCGGAAAAATACGTTTTCTACGTTTTTCTGTCTCGGTAAGATAGAATTAAGCTGCTAAGGCTTTGAATTGTAACCCTGGGACAGAAGGATCCAAAGCCGGATCCTAAAACGAAATGCAGGTTTCAACCGACCGCAATGGTATCTAGAGGCAAAATCTATTTCTAGTGCTTTATACACGTGTATTGGAGAGTATAACTTATTTACAGAAACAGTTTTCTCATTGTGATTTATTAAAAAATATTATATATAAAATTAATAATATAGACAATATAAGTTTTTTTTTTATTTTTTTATTGTAGGATATTTATATTTTTTAAAATATTATATATAAAAATATTATATATAAAATTAATAATATAGACAATATAAGTTTTTTTTTATTTTTTTATTGTAGGATATTTATATTTTTTTATTGTAGGATATTTATAAGAATTTTGTGCTTAAAAGAAATTAGTTTATGAGAAATCTATTTGACTAATGAAAAGAAAATATCATTTATTAAAAGACGGATAATACAACTTTTCATTAATTAAAGTTCATGATCTCTGACGGAGAATTCACGACCGCGTCATCTCCAGCTTTGACTGTAAACAACTTTCGTCCTTTGTCATGCAGTTATGCATTTTCTCTCCTACATGTATGCCAGTGAAACTACAAACCAGAATATGCAGACTATCCATCTCATGGCATTAATTGTCACAACAGATTATCTGGCAAAATTAAATTTCTTTTTTAAATAATAATATAGCTTTGAAATTAAAATGATAAAAATTGAAAAGCTTCTCATAAATTAAATTTATATAAGAAAATAAATTGCTATAAAATGTTTTTATATTCTTTTCATTCAATTTTAAATGGATATTATACTTTGATAGAATTTAAAAATTTTTGTTGTAAAATATTTAATATTGAAAAAGTTAATCATGATAAATGTAGAAACAATATTCTCAAATGTTTAATTTTTATTAATAATAAGAAAGGATTTTGTGATTTCAAATTAATCTAAAAATCTGTCTACTACTAAATTTAATTTTATCTATCAAACTACGCACAATCAAACTATGTACTATCGATTTTGTTTTTTACTTTCTTTTGTATAGCATGTTTCGTCGAATCTGATTAAAATTGCAGTTACAGTAGATTATGTTGTATATTCGTCATCCTGTTTACCACTTTCCTCGGATAAGGCAACCTATCATGTAACTTTTACAATTTCCGATTTCGATTAGCCAGAGTTATCAATGATTTCTGTTCGGAATCGACCTTCGATAAGCTGCGAGACGAAAACAGCCGGAAGCGCTAACATTCGATTACAACACGTAGGTTTTGTCCTGATTAGATATGATCTGATTTTGCCGGTTCACTTGTAACGTGTCGATCGCTGTGGAAGCTTTCCATACACGCATGATTGATCACGGGACGAAAAACGAGAGCATTCCGATCGAATGCCTTTTCGAGCAATAATCTGATATAGCTTTCGGGTACATGATAAGTTCTCCACAACGAAATAAGATATTTATTCAAGCAGGATATTAGAAGATATAAATATTTTATTAATATTTAATTAATATTTTAAATGAAAATATATATTAAATTTTATTTTATATTTTTTAGATATCATAATTAACAATTCGATATGCGATGTGTAATGTTCTAGTATCATTTTTTTTAAATGGCGTATGTTATATATATTCGGAATGCATAAAAAAAGTTTGCTTTTTAAATGACAATACTTTCTGGCATTATAATAAAATACCGCGCTATTGAACATCGGTTTGTAATATTTGTAGTTTTGTTTTATTAAACGAATGATGTCATTATCTATGTGGACAACATAGTAAAAAAAAAATCATCATATTTCTGCATCTTTAACGCATAAAATGTCGTTCAAGCTTATAATATTTTTTTGAATATTTCTTAATAAACCTAATTGAATTAAAGTTGATTTAATTCCATTTTACTTTAAAGTATCATTAATGCTTAAGTTTAAAAATTACAAATTGATAAATAATTTAAATTTTTAAATTCTGAAAGAAGGAAGGAATAAAAATAATCCATCTATTTGTGATTTTGATATCAAAATATATTTACATCAATATTTTTCTTTTAAAATTTCGGTTTGTTTCTAAAATTATAGGTGGACCGGGCGGAGAAGGAAGAAGGGCAGGGAGAGGGTGGTCTGGCGCCGTCTTGCAGCGGTGCTTCCGGTTCGAGGATGGGCCCCGGGCCCGATTCCGGCAGCAGCGCTCCGTCTTCGGTTCCCCAGTCACTGGCTACTTCAAGAGACGACGAGGACGACGAGGACGATGAGAGCAGTGGTAGGCGGTCCAATGGCCACGGAGGATCGAGGTTAGTGATTCCCGACGTGTCCTTGCATGCGATCACTCGCATCGGATTATATCGCGATCTATTTCACTTTTAATATTTCGTCGCGCGAGAGATGGTTTCGCGCAAATGTTTATCATCTTTTCAATCTTCTATTGTAATTTTTTACGAGAAAAATTTCCCTGTCGCGTTTATATATTATCTTGTATATTTCAAAAACTATTAATTCAAAAATTAATAATTATCTTCTCTTTTTACTTTGAATACCGGTTTCGATGTTTGATATGTCAACAGTCAACAATTTTAACTTTATAAACTTATTGAAATATTAAATTGTATTATTATACATTTAAATTGTATTATTATACATTTTTTATGCCATATAATTGTGTATGCGAAAGTTTATGCGGAAAATTGATTTAAATATAAATTTTATTCAATAATTTTACTTTATGGAATTGATTTAATTAATAAATAAAAAATACATAACGTATATTACACAAAGAATTTCAATTATTAATGATTGCATTTAGAATGTAATTAAAACCACGGAAATTTTTCTCGTATTTACTTAGGATGACTTTTATATTCCTCATTCTTCGTGCAATTAATTAATTGCACTTCTAATTTTAGCGCATTGATTAGCTGCATTGATTTAAGTATTTAATGAATAATATTTCCATAATTTGAATATATATTAGCGTATATGGAAAAATTTTGGAAACTGAAACGAGACGTCGGTCTTTTCTACGTGAATCTCGAGAAAAATGACGAAGAGAAATATGTACTGTAAATATTCCGCAAAAGAAATAGGATTACATGGAAATTGAATAACATCAAACCATATAAGATGCTCTTTTATCATTTTCTTCTATTTTTACTTAGGAAAGAATATCGGTCAGTTTCAGTTGACAGAAGTATATTGCATAAAAGATAGTTCATATCTAAAATTTCACATCTTCTCAATACAAATCATGTTATTTCGAATTTACATCGAGATAATTCGCACGAAGTTGAAGAATTCGTTGAATCTCATTTGCTTGATTATTCTTCGAAAATCCTCAAAATTCTGTTACAATCAAGATGATGAAAATAAATCTAACAGTAAAATCCGTAATTATCTCATTCTAGTGTATTCTGTAATTACTTATACCTTGCGCAGGATGAAATAAATGAAATTTTTAAAAAATTTTATTCTTGGCTTAAATTTGCTCATGGTGAGAGTGCTCTAAATATGATAGTGTTTCCACTTACACAATTAATATTTAACATGATATACGCAACTTAAGTAGCAAAATATGATCTCTAAAATATTTAATAGATATATGCTCTTTTTTAAGACTTCGAGGACATAAAGAAATTGTTACAGTTTATAAACGATAAAACCTTGCATATAAAATAACATGGAAGAAAAAGATTAATATTATTTCTCACTTTTAATCTCGATTAATCGAAAGATATAGTATTAATCGATTAATATTATATCTAATCGCTTACATTTTAAAAATTTTTTGAAAATAATGTTATATATAAATCTTTAATAAAATTTATGAATATCTGTTGCTGAAAATTTAGGAATATCGAGAGAATTGATACATTTCCAATCACAAAGCTGCAAATGTACTTTATGTAGCAAAAATCTACATTACATTTTTATAGAAGTTAAATTATTTGAGGAATTTAATAAGTTTTATTGTATTATTCTACGATACAATAATATTATTATGCATCAAAACTGCATAAAATATTGTACATTGTAGATAATCGTAGATAAATCGCGACAAGCACTTCCAATAATGATTTTAAATGATATAACGATTTTAACGAAATGTGAATGCTCGATTAATTATCGAGAAATCACTGTTGTCAAAAAATATGTGGTAATAATTTTCTCTTTAATTATGCTAAATCATATTCATAGTGTAATATCGTGGAATTGACTGGCAAAATACTTTGCGACAAATTACAGTAACTTAAATCGCTTTCAGCTAATAGTAATGTGTCGTCATTATTTGATTTTCACGTTTTGGCAACACACACGTCACATGCATTGGAAATGCATTTTCAATGCGGCGCAATAAATTTCTGACGGAACGATTCGCGATATCGTAATGGATGGGACTTTAATCAAGTGATGATGAATTTGTGAGTGAAAGCCTCTCTCACTCTCGTTTCATTTCAACATTTAAACATAGTGTTTCCCTCGTAACCAGATACACACATACGCGCATATACACACTCACACGTATATCCACACGACGAATGCACTAATTCTCGGTACAAAATGTTTACTATGTACATATGGCGTACTTTACTTTACGCTAACCGAGTGCTTGTCACGAATAATGGCTTTTTACCCCTTAACATGTGCAAGCAGCACGTAATGCAATTATCCACGTGTCTGATATCTGGTAAAAGATATATAAAGAAAATATTTGTAAGATTACAAATAGTGCGAACACACGCACATGTAGAAATTTTAAATTTTAATAATTTCTCAAAGTGCATTCGTGAAAATTTATAATATTATTAAATTTTATTAATTTCTTATAATATTTTTATAAAGTTATATTAATGAATTTATAAAATTTTATAAAATTTTATATTAAATTCTTGTAATATTATTCAAATTATACTCGTTACATCTACGATACAATGCTGTTGTATAAGGATTTATAAAAAATAGTTTTGAGATTTTCAAAAAACTCAGTTTTATTCGCCTTGTAAAAGAAATCGATATTGTAAGAAATATAAAATCTCAAAAATTGCTGTCTATTCTAATTTGATACTTTACATTATATTGCAAGTTATTAGAAGATAAATATTTTATGGTTAACATAAATGATTTTGTTGATTCAAATGAATAGTTTCAATCTTTTGCGGTTTTATCCGTGCATATTGGATCTCATGTTTCAATTTTATTGAATTATACATTCATTTAAATTACTCGTATACTCATGTAATACCTATAACGAAGAACATAGATACATAAACATTTATAAATACATAAACATTTTATTTAACGATTGAAATATATGAATTAAAATGTATAGAGTATGCGTGAAACGCGAATGAATAATGACAGATTAAATCGAAACGGTATAAGCATAAAATTTCCGACTATAGAAAATTGGAATTTCGCAAGAAAGCTCCGCAGATTAACTATACTTATAATATTTTTCATTTTTATTAAAATTATATCTAACAATTTAATTTATCATTTAATTTTATATCTGCTTTACATGGATTATTTGATATCATGAATTATTTTTTATCTGCTTTATATGGATTTTTTGCAAACAACCTTTTCATTTTATTTTTATAATTATATTTACAATTAATAATATTAAAGCAGAATTAAAAATTGGACGTGTATCAAAAGAGCTTAACACGAATCTAAAATCTGTCATAAAAATTCACCATGCTCTTTGCGAAATGTTGAAGCTCTTTTGTTTACTTGCTTCAGCCCGAATTAAAGTTCGCTCCATAAAGTTTAAAAGAGCAAAAGCCAGGTTCTTTTTCTTATACCTTTACTTGTGATCGCGAGGTTTTTTCAAGCTATTGCATAATTCGATGACTGTGCTTTTTCTACTTTGGAGAACATTTATTTCATGGCGAAAGCGATAACGAGAATGATAACCCGATGAAATCTTTCGAATAAGTGAACTCGGAAAAATATTATCTGTCTGGCATGCTGCTATAAATCTACAAATGACGCGAAATAACGTACGATAAATCCTTTTAATTTTGCTTCATTAATCAAGGCAACGAGCGTGAAACAAGATATCGCTTAATAAATCGGGAAAAATCTAAAAACCATGATATTGATCTTAATGCTTTTAGATTGGAAATTTATATTTAATATTTATTTCTATATTAAAAATGTAACAATAATGCCTCTTATTTTCAAAGTCGGAGTGATTTTATAATTGACGATATATTTAAATTTTTTGTCTCAAAGTTTTAAACGATGGACTCGCGCGAAAAGAACGTAAAAATTCGTAAAGAATAAATTAGTGATAAAGTTTAATTTTAACTTTTTTGCATATTATCACTTTAACACAATTGTGTAGTGGAATAAAAGTGGATCAAATGCGAAAAATAAAACGATGATATATCGCGATTTATCGTACGGGATTATCAGAGAAATTTATGATATGATAACCTCTTTCGTAATTCGACGCGCTGACCAAGTTTGCTTAACATCGTTAATGCAACTCTAATAAGATGCCGATGCGGCGTCTCTGCAGCGTGAATTATTACTCTCAGGCCAATTACACCTCTTACGTTCGACGAAGACGACCCGTTTTCGCTTCAATGCAAAAGTTCCCAAGGAAAATTCTTTCCGGTTTGAAATTATGTCTCGGAGCAATATCTTCTTTTCGTAGCACACCGTAATATCGCTCCCAGAAATATCGAACGAGACACAATCGTCTTTATCATAAAAGCTAAATTTTTTGCTGGCTTGGATGAGACATCTTCAGCGAGTAAATTTGCTTTCGATGAGGACGGTATGCAAAAGAACGATATGCTCGAAGCAATATACGATAATAATCAATCTTAATTCAGAAAAATGTAAAATTTTTTAATTTTATTTTCCTCTTTATAACGTGATAAAATATATTTTATTATCGATGTAATTGATCTAATTTCTATTATTGAGATAATGTATAATAATGCATAAAATGTAATATAATTTACGAGTTGTTGACATATTTCTGAAATTATGCAACACAAATAATTTTAATGACTTCATCGAGAGAAATGTTCCTGAAAAAGATGTGGTGTAAAATTTGCATTACATCCCTTGAAACTCCGTTTCACTGCTGCACATATACCGCAATCCAAACTTATTTACTTTTTAATTGAAGCGTTGAGACTGTAACTCGAAAGCATTCGTGCATCTAAAGCAAACTATGTAGCTATCTTACGAATGCCATTCGTGCAATTCCTGTTCGAGAAAACGTGGAGAGCATGCCAATGGTGATTTTTAATCAAACCTTAGATTACGTGATCATCTGTGT